TGAAAGGGGGGCGGGGTTGCTTGGTCTGCCAAGGGGGGCGGGGAGAGGGTAGACGCATCTGAAAAGGGGGCGGGGTTGCTTGGTCTGCCACCGGGGGGGAGAGGGTAGACGCATCTGAAGGGGGGGTGGTATAGTGCTAGCCATAGCCATAGCCATGGCGGGTGGCGCTACCACGTGGAGCGCGGAAGCAGACGACGCTATTCCACGTGGGCGACGCCGGGAGCGTTTCTTCGATCCGAAAGAGAGGGACGTGTGCTGGCGAAAGGCTGACGTGGTGCCAGGGCGACATCCCGAGCGATGGCGGAAAGATGCGGCGGGAAACATCGTGTGCCGTCGATTTAACGCGTGTCATGGATGTCTCTGCTATGAGTACGATCATATCATTCCTTTTTCAAAAGGTCAATAAAAAGGAAAGAAAATGGAATGGAAAGCGATCGCGGCTCTCTCCTCTTCCTCCTTCTCCTTCTCCATGTCCTCCTCCTCCTCCTCCTCCTCCTCCTCCTCCTAATCCTTCGTCTTTTCCTTCCTTCTTCCTTCTTTGCTGATGGCGGGGTCATACCGTTGTTCCTCCTCTTGATAAGTGCTTAGGAGCAACCAGCCAAAACGTGTCGTGGAATGTGCGCGTTAAGAGCATCCTTTTTTTTTTTTTTTTTTTTTTTTTTTAACCATGTCAGACATTTCCGCGCAGGAGCTATGTCCTTCTCTGAATGAAGCATAGACAATGAACACTTGGCCACTGCTTCCACTATTTCCACGATTCTTCCTTCGTTTACCCCTTCTTCTTGTTGTTGTCGTTGTTGCTGTCGTTGTTGCTGTTGTTGTTGTTCTCGAACTTCCAACTGGGAGGTCGCGTGTTCGATTCCTGGGAGTGATGGGCTCGTGGATACAATTCTTCTTCTTCTTCTTCTTCTTCTTCTTCTTCTTCTTCTTCGTCTTCTTCTTCTTCTTCTTCGTATTCTTCTTCTTCTTTGTATTCTTCTTCTTCTTCGGTCAGGGAGGAATGAATGTCGGGACCTGGGTTAGCGGGGAACCGATGCTTGATAAGTGCTGGAGCGTAGCCAGCCGAAACGCGTCGGGGAATGTGCGCGTTTTAGTGAGCTTATGAGTTTCTGAATTTTGAAATGCATCGATGACTATTATTATTATTATTATTATTATTATTATTATTATTATTATTATTATTATTATTTAATGTGGCCCGATGGACCACAGATCAGATATTAAACTGATCAGAACAGATACTACACTTGATCTTAGCCAAAAGGCCGAGAAAGGTATGACTATTAATTGGCCTCGGTATGTTCTCTATTCTCTATTCTTTTTTTTTTCTTTTTTTTTTTTACATCTTCGGGGAGTACCACAGATCTTTTTTCTCTCTTCTCTCTTCTCTCTGTTCTTTATTCTCTGGTCTCTCTTCTTTATTCTCTCTACTGTCAATTCTCTATTCCTCTTCTTCTCTCTCTCTCACACACACACAGAGTGAGTTGGTGAAAGTCTGACGAAAGGGTCTGGCACAGTAGCGTTTGTTTGTTTTTTTTTGTTTTTTTTTGGTGGAGTTTCGTCTATAGCGAGCATGACAACACACACTCACACACTCACACACTCACACACTCACACACCCACACACCCACGCGCGCGCGCGCGCGTTTTCAGTTTAGGTTCTGGTGTCTGATGATGTCATACGCCCCCGCCCTTCTGCGGCAGGTAGCCCACTCGTTTGTTGGTGACGAAGCTGCCATAAATGGAAGGTGTTGGTGAAACCGTGTGAAATTTCCGGTTCAGGAAATTGTCGTTGAAGGTGACATACGTGAAAAAAAAGCGAAAAAAAAAAAGAGGGAAATGAGTCGACGAAGGGTTTAAAACCCTGCAATAATAATTTTTCAAAAAGTTATAAAAATACCAAGGCCTGCGAATATAATTGAGAAATACGGAAATTAAATCCTACCGTGGTTGTGTATTCCGCGCAGTAATTTTCTGCGGTTTTCTAACCGCAGTAGTTTTCTGCAGTTTTTTAACCGCAGTGATTTTCTGCGGTTTTCTAACCGCAGTAATTTTCTGCGGTTTTTTTTTTTAACCGCAGTAATTTTCTGCGATTTTCTAACCGCAGTAAGATTTTGCGGTTAACCGAAGCAACATTCACCTGCGACTAGAAGTCCAGCATATCATGGAGAGAGCATAGCACAGTACAGTACACCATAGCGAGCAGATCACACTACTACTATTTTATTTTTATTTTTTCAAAATACCAGTAATTTGGACAATTTCTCGATTTATGCGAGTGGTCCTTGCTCAGCGGCCATGCTAAAAGATTACCCTTCTTAGTATCGTTCCAATCCCTTCAGCGGATGTTTGGAAGGACAGATCACACCACATCCTATTTTTTTCCTTCTTAGTCGTCGTCTTCTTCTTGTTCTTCTTCTTCTTTTGGTTCTTTTTTAACATCACATCTGTAGCGTAGGGTACCGCAGGAAAGACGGTTCTGATGACCATAGCAACCTTTTTTTTTTTTTAATCATAGTACTTGGTAAAATGACGAAATACGAAATAGATAGAACAGGAGACCGAAGCACAGAGCCTCGGGAAGTCCGAAAGAGTGATCGAAGGTTCCACGTTGTTGACCCAAATAGAACCCCCGGTCGTGGGAGCTCTATTTGGGGCAACTTGCAGTCCACATGCAGCGGTAATGACTGGGCGTTCTATTCGGGTGAAAAGGGTAGCCTAAGAAGGGGCTGGGCCCACTTCTTGTAGGGGAGGCACTTTTAGGGAAATTTTCGGATCCCACTTCTTCCCGCGCGAGGTGGAGGCCTCCCTGTTAATCCGAGGACGTGAAAACATTGTGGAATGTGAGCACAATTGGAGGTCCGGTAGTTCTTTTGAAAGTGAAAAGAAGAGGAGGCCGGACCTTGCACCGAAAGGAAGGAGCCCTTGTTTTCACTTTTCTTCTTTTTTTTCTCATGTGCAGGCCGCTGGATCCTGGATACGCCCACAAGAAAGTGCACTGCACAAGCAATGTGGGATCAGCGATCAGCCCCTAAGTCACCCTGGTGTTCCCCCGCCAGGGGGACCACTGATGAGTAAGTAAAGGGTGATTCACACTACGTAGGACTTCTCTGTGCGTATTTCTGACTCTGACTGTGATTCCGGCCAAATTCAGTCGAGGAAGTGCTACTACTCTGAGTACTAAGTTAGCGAGAGTCTTTTCTTGTTTTTCTTCCCTTTTCTTTTTCGCTCAGTCAGTAATATTCATGTTATTTCTATGGGAAAATTGCATCTGTACCCCACTACAAAGATACCCATAGATTATCCAACAACAAATCACTTCTAGCTGCTCCCCTCAACCCTTCTTCCCTAGACTGCGCCTTTGCCCGAGGAATGCTCCAGAATAAATCTTCCACCCGTGTTGGAAGAATAATATCTTCAGTGGTTGGGGGAGCCAATCTACGAATTTGTTCAAGAGCCATAGTTTGTCAGGGGTTATCAGTGAAAAAAAATGAAGTCCTTTATCTATTTAAGTGATAGCGATTGGCATTGCACGAACGGGTCAAGAAGTCCTAATCCTCCACTGATTTTTGGCTGGATTAGGGAAAGTCACGCCACTCTAGGGATTTTTTCCCCTCATGATTCCCTCTCTATAAAAATGCAGCCACCTGTTTTTATAGTTTCTTTGTACGTGACTTACTGATTGCCCACAAAGCATATTTCTATTATACTAAAACGGAAAACCATATTGTTAATAAACAGTGCTCTTCCAAATAGAGAGGTTTGTTGTTTTTTCCATTGATTCATTTTGTCGATAGCAGTGTGCGAGATCCAGTCGTTGCTTGATGCAGGTTTGCCTAGCGCTGTAAGAGAGACTCCCAACAACCTCACATGTGATTCTAATGGAAGCCACTTCACTCTCGGATGCTCTGGGGGACAAACTTTTTGAGTGGATCGACCACCCTTGTGTCTTATTCCCCTAATTTATCATCATATCCCACACTACTGAGAATCGGTCCATCAATGTCTTAATCTCTTTCAAATTGGAGGTCGAGGCCTCGATGAGTATAGTGAGATCATCCGCAAACATGGAAGCAATTGGGATTGCTTCATCAGGAATCCCCGGTATCAGGAGTTGTTTAAGACTACGATGGACCCTAAGATTGACTCCCAAAGCTTCCATGATAGGTTTACTAAATACGCTAGACTAATCCCTATGCCGGAAACAGCGAAAACAGAGCATGTCATCAAGTTATTCATGGATAACTGGGTGCGTGACTTTGGACTGCCCAAAAGAATTTTGAGTGACAAAGATGTCAGATTCGCTAGTGAAATGTGGAAAAAGGCTGCTGAACAGATGGGCAGTCAACTCCAAATGACTTCGGGGAATCATCCCGAAGCAAATGGTCAAGTGGAACAGAGGAACCGTGTGGTGCAGCATCTGCTGAGGCATTACATCAAGCCCAGCCAAGATGACCGGGATGAAAAACTTCCTCTCATCGCGGCTGCACACAGCACCACCGACATTAGTCCCAACCAGCTGCATTTGGGGTGGAAGCCTAGATCTGCTCTAGACGTCCGCCTACCTGAAAATCAACCCACTGCAATGCTTGGAACCATTGAATTTGGTGTTCAGTATGAAGAACTATTGCAGCAGGCTGTCGAGCATATTAGAAAGTCTCAAGACACAATGATTGCCTCTGAGAACAAGCATAGGCGACAGTCCAAATTTCAGGTAGGGGAACATGTCAGGGTAAAGGCTTAGTGAACTGGGACAGGAGTTTAGCATCTCTAGGAAGTTAATGCCGCAGTACTTTGGTCCCTGGGAAGTCCTAGACATTGTGGGTAGTGATCTAGATGGTCCCTCGTACGTCATCAGAATCCCTGGTCATTTCCGCACTTACCCTGTATGTCACGCTTCCAAACTTGCACCCTTTCCAGAGACAGATCTGTTTCCAAAAAGAAGGTCAATGCTGCCCCCAACCATGAATGGCCATGTGGACGTCGATGACATCTTGGAACACAGAGATTTGCCTGTTCCCAAGCCTGCTGGCAGGCGTAGACCGCCCAAACCTACGAGGGAGTACCGGGTCAGGTTCAGGCACAATACAGATCCGAAAGAAGATCGTTGGTTCACAAGACAGGAGCTAGTCAAGACAGCACCTCAGATCGTGGCCGAGTGCGAACGAAGACTGAAGGGGAAGGCACCTGCGTAGAAGCATCTCAGCGGACTTTCAAAGCTAAGGTGGATGGAATGCACTCGCGGAGCCCTTATCAGACATACAAGTGTTCTGGGCTATGGCCCTTAGCAAGCCTCTTGCCCGCCCTAAGTGAAGGCGGGCCTGAACATCCAAGTGAGGCCTGTTTTCAACAATTTTTCCATATGTGGGTACTCAGACAATTGCAGCACGCCAGTTGGTTACAGAGCAACGTGAGCCTCCAGGCTCTTTCCAGAAGCAAAGGGCTGCGCTGTACAGTTGAGCCCAGGGCTCAGGCGGTTGCGCCCTGGGCACACGCTGTCTGAAGGAAGCAGCGTTGTCGTCACACATGTGCCGCAATACTGCAAACACTTGGAGGCTGGGGGGCTGCCTGGACGTGCGTAACTGCACGAGGCCCAGTCCATCTTCGGAAACTGGGCCTGGGCGCCGACACTTGGGGCCCAACTGAAGCTACTGGGTCCCCCACACGCCTGGCCAGGACAGCCAGCAGCGACGCACTTTCAGAAAAGGAAAGTGTGAGCCCCTGGGAGATAGGGTCTGGCCTTGGCCGGCATTGCGGACACGCTGCTGCATTGCTGCGTTAGTGTCTGCATGGGCGCTGCGTATCGGGCGCACGCACGGGCGCTGAGGTGAGAGGAGCGCTGCGAGTCAGCGGGCACACAGCAGCCATGGCCGGGCTGCAGGGGTGCAACACAGGTGATGGCGATGGTGGTCCTCGGGTAGGAGGCGCATGAGGAGGTGATCAAGGAGTGATGAAGAGAGGAGAGAGAACATACCTGGTGTATGCTGGTGGTCGGCATTGGCGTTGATGTCACGTACATTGGTCTTCGACTTCAGTGTGATCCAGTCGCTTGAACGTAGATAGGCTAGATAGGCTGAGTAGAGTAGGCTGGGCGCTGAGCGCCAGACAGCAGGAGCGACATTGGATACCGTGTTGATGTGACCAGGAGTGTTGGCATTGGCACTTGAGTTCTTTGTATTGCTCTTATGTGGATGGAATCTTGGTGCATTGTGCTTTCTGCTTGGTACATGACTATGTGGACTACTTCGTGATTTTGCAACTTGGGTTTCTGTCTATTGCTCTTGCTCATATTCCTTGCATTTCCCTCTCCGATCTCTTCTTCTTCCTCTTCTTCTTCAGCTGAGAGAGAGAGAGAGAGAGAGAGAGAGAGAGAGAGAGAGAGAGAGAGAGAGAGAGAGAGAGAGAGAGAGAGAGAGAGANTAGATGTGTATAAGAGAAAGGAGAGAGAGAGAGAGAGAGAGAGAGAGAGAGAGAGAGAGAGAGAGAGAGAGTTGACATTGAGACTTGCTGACTTTTGGGCATATTGCCCGATTCAGTGGCATTGCAACTTGACATGGTATGAGCAGCGACATTGGGGATACATTGGAGACTGGGTCCATCGGGCTATGGTTGCCGATCTTCCCTATCTCCTCCTCACTTCGTCTCTTCTCCCTCGTCTTCGTCCGTGCTTGCATTGGGACTCGCACCTTCTATGTTTGCAGCACTGAGTCCACTCCCACTGCAGGATGATGGTTGTAGTCAGCATTTGTCATTGTCCATGCTGAGTCAGATCTTGGTATTTCAGTCTTCCACTGTGATATTGTTGGTATTGTCTCTGATAGGTCGGTTTTTGGTTCTGATCTGTCCTTTCAGGCAAGTGACATCTTTGTAGACGTGTGCTTTTTTTTTTTGGTATGCATCATTTCTAGCTAGGTGGTATATCTGGTTAGTCCTTAGCCTATCTGCCCCTTATTTTTCCTCCTTTTTTGTCCTTTTCTCCCTTCGGGCTATGGTTCACTGGGCAGTTCTATGTATAAATTATAGGGTTCAGCCTCCTGATGAGTCAGTCGGGAGAAACGCTGATGAAACAGTCTGTCAAGGCCCCTCGTTTGATGTGTAATGAACCCAGTCTGGAAGATACTCATCAGATGTCGAAATACAAGAAATCTCAGTTCTGCATAATGTCTCCAAATAATCGTGCGTGTTATCTGTGATACAATGTCTGGTAACAGACGAAAAGAGGAGAGGGGGACTAGACAGATTAGAGGGTGGAAAAGGTAAATCACAGTATCGGCATCAACAGCAGGTAAGTATCCTGTTCTCTCTCAGTCATCCACAGATCCCGATCTCTCTTCTTGTCGCGTCCAACTCAGCAATGTAGACAGTGTGGCAAATGCCACATCACCAATTTTGAAGACACAGTGGCATGCGCCACATCAGCAATGTTGAAGACAACATGGCCTTGTGCCACGTCAGCAAAGGCTGGCGCTGAAGCAGAAAAGCGTCAGCATGCGGAAGCAGTCTTGCGTCGTCGACCACAGTGCCAGCGTCAAGCCAGCGTCCAGCCAGCGTCCAGCTAGCGTCAAGCCAGCGTCCAGCTAGCGTCAAGCCAGCGTCAAGGCAGCATAGCAAGACTGAATGTTGACTCCCTGGTGGCCGGGCCTGATGTAGTGTTTGACGAGGCTGACCGGCCTCAGGTCTCCCACCCACGGTGGCTCAGATTGACTTACAGCTGAGAGCCTGGATCGCGTACAGTTGCAGACGTACACTTGGTCCGAATGCTGTCTTGGTACCTGCATACAAACAAGTGTGTGTCTGACCGGTGGCCTGGGCTGGGTACATGCAGACTCTGAATCTTGGGCCGCTGGGCAGTTGACCGAAGTCAACTGTCGGGCGCACAGGCCGTGGGCCAATTTGGGGTTTTTCCTCCCCTTGGCCTTTGCGGCCTAAGACCGGGGTCGCGGCCTGCGTGTGGCCTTAGGGCCACTTCAGGGCATATCGGGCGGGGTATTGCAGGTGTCCTCTTCTCCCTCTCTGCCTACTTCTTACCTTGGCAGTTCTGCGCCATCGAACTTAACTGCCGGGTAAATGGTAGGCAGAGAGGGAGAAGAGGACAACAAACGAGGGGCTGAGACAGACAGACTGTTTTGTTGAAGTTTCCCCGACTCATCAGGAGGCTGAACCCAATATATATCGTCAAACAGATATATCCTAATCCGTGCAAGTGGGACATTGCTCCTGACATGCTCTTCTTGCCGACAAAAAAACGCATCCTGGACTAGAGGACAAGTTGGTAATCGATACTTTTTTTACTATAAATGATAAATTTCGTTTCGACCATCAATATTGAAACAAAACTTTTGCTTTTCCGTTTTCTTTTTCTTTTTCTTTTCGTTTTTTTTCTCTTTTCCCATTTGTGAAACAGTGCAGAGAGTTGCTGACGGTGGTGGAGGAGAATCTATCTGCCGGTGCAAGCATAAGCAAACCATGGAGATAGTAAAGGTACACTTCTTATTATTTCCGGTGATGACTCAACTGACAGATGATTGCTGACGTGGCACCGTGCGATGCTTGATTCTCTTGCCAGGCGGACCATCCACTGCAGATAACTGTCAGATTCTGCAGACACGTGTTAATCGTCGAAAGAGCAATCGAGAAGACTTGGCCTCTGACGAGATGCGCCAGAACTCTTGCGAGATCAAATTTACAGGTAGGTGACTGTTATAACTTATATAACTAAATGACTTGTACGGTTGTACCTCATAAGCGTCATATCTACATAACTTATAAGTTATAACTATATAACTTATAACTTATAAGTATATAACTTTATAACTTATAGCTATATAGCTTATAACTATTGAGGAGCTGTTTATTTTGGGACAAAAGAAAAAGAAACAAAAAAAGAGAAAAACTTCTAAAAACTTGAAAAAAGTGAATCTGACCTCGTGGTGCTTGACCAACCAACCTGTGTGTCGGGAAAAGAAGAAAGAAGAAAGAAGAAAGAAAAAGGACAAAGAAGAAGATTGGAAAGAAAAGGAATGAGTGCATTCAGTTTTCTTTTTTTTTTTCTTGTTTAAGACGACAAGAAAACGCACGGAATCTAATTGATTCGATTGTACTCCAGTTTTCCTTGCACGAGGTGGACGATGCCCGCTCAGTTTATGAAATGGACGGCTGCTCACAGCTGCAGAACAACAAAACCTTGGTCACACATCTCCCTTCCTCTCAAGTTTGAAGAGTTTAGGATTTAGGATTTAGGGTTTAGGGTTTAGGGCTTAGGGTTTCTGCTTGCTTCAGGGGTTAGTGGGGTGGTTTTGTTGTGGGTGGCCTATTGCACACAACATGCCAAGAAACTGAGACAATAACAATAACAGCGATAGATAGAAAAGGGAAGAGAGAGGTTTGGAAGGGGACGAGGGGCGGGTCTGCCCTCAACCTTGACAACATGCTACATTGGTTGCTGATGCTTCTCTTCTTACTACCGTCTTCACCCGAATAGAACGCCCGGTCATTATAGCCGTATCTGGTGCAATTTTCAGTCCAGATACAGCTATAATGACCGGGCATCCTATTCGGGTGAAGACGGTAGTTTTTAGGGTTTAGTCAACGTTTTCTCTCTCCCCGCGGCGGTGGATTGCTCGCTGTGGGTTTACTCCTTCATATTCTATGCACTATATTTGCCTATACTTGTCATTCTTTTCATCTATCTGTCTTGCTTCAAGATAGCCATGCGTGTGTGTGCATGTGTGCACGTGTGTTCGCGCGCGTGTGTGTGTGTGTGTGTGTGTGTGTGTGTGTGTGTGTGTGTGTGTGTGTGTGTGTGTGTGTGTGTGNGTGTGTGTGTGTGTGTGTGTGCGTGTGTGTGTATGCGTGTGTGTGTATGGGTGTGGGTGTGGGTGTGTACGTGTGTGCATATGCTAGTGAACTGTTTTTTGTGCGTGTACCTACCTGCTCTTTGATACCCAGGCAGAGTGGCGGTGGCCCGTGGCTGTTGTCTTTACAAGTATCTTAGCTGCAGGCGCCTCTACGCACGCCGAGCCCGCGAGTTCCACGGCCGTCGGATTTTGCTATTGGTGCCGAAAACAAAAGTTTTCGGGCTCAGCTCGGTACGATTTCTGAAAACGACTTTCTGGCGCAGACCAACATGTTGTGCTTCCTTTCATCTCCTTTTTTTAGCATTCTTCCATCTATCTATTTGAACTATTTAACTATTTAACTATTTAACTATTTAACTATTTAACTATTCATCTGCTCTCTCTCTCTCTCTCTCTCTCTCTCTCTCTCTCTCTCTCTCTCTCTCTCTCTGTGTGTGTGTGTGTGTGTGTGTGTGTGTGTGTGTGTGCGCCTGTTTTGCAGATAGAGAGCTGGATATCATCGAGATGGCGGTGTATGGTAATGTGATACGTCCCGGTTTGCAATGCCGTTGCAGGAGCGTTGCCGAGTCCTTGAGTATCTCCTTGTTCTCGAAGCCGGGCAGGACGGATGATGTTGCGTGTGAACTCCCATCTTATGGAGAGGAAAGGGAGAAGGGCACCACAAGCTTCATGTAGTTTTGCTGTCTGTTGTTGTGTTTTGGCGCTTCTATTTATAGATATGCCAACCGCTCTTCGAGTTGTCGTGAAACAAAGGGTGCAGGGTGCCGGGTGTCTTCCCAAGTGAGGGGGATCAAGCAGCAAGTGTGAACCACCGTCTCATAAAGCTGGCACAAGCTGTTCCTGCCCCTTCGCAGCAATTGAGCCGCGGCGTTCTAAGTTCTAATGGACATGCTCTTCTTCGTCATTGTGTCAGTAGCCAGACCACAACCAGCGCGTTAGGAAATGGGACCCTGGAGACACAATGAATGGGCCACGACACTCCAAGCAGGTTTTTTTCTCCAGGTACACAAGAAAGGAGTGGGTTTTCTTTGTGTTTCTGTGTGCGGGCCGCCGGGGGAAGAGGGGAGGAGGGAGAAAAGGTCTGGATGCTGAAGGACCTGAAGGGAAAGGGATTATGCTTTTGTGTCTGTGGAGAGGGCCGGGCGCGGGCGGGGGTGGGGGCGGGGGCGGGGGCAGGGGAGGGGCTGGGAAGGGGAGAGGGAGGGGTGGTGATAAGTTCTGGATGCTGGAGATCCTGAAGGAAGGACTGATATCTGGTCATGTGGGTGTCTGCGTATGGGTGGTGGTAGAGAGGGGCAGATGGAGAGGAAGGTCTACATGGCGTGGAGGTAATGTGCCAGCAGCTCATTTCTTCTCATCAATGGCAGGCCTTTTTTCTTTTCTTCCATCTTGAACACCACTACCTCTGGGCCTCTTCTTGCCGAGGCGGAGAAGAACTGCACACCAAGCTTTGCCAAAGTGTCAGCGCAACCCTTTACGCTGGACCCGTTTTCGAGCAGGTGATGCTCCCCACCAATAGATGGAGCCTCTCCCCAGGTGCTAGTGGTGTCTGCTCTTATCAGCATCACTAGCACTGGGGGGGGGGTGTTTTCAAAAAAAAAAAAAAAAAAAAAACCTTTTTTTTTTTTGTTTGGGCTGGGGCTGCTAGCCATTTTGGTCTGCCGGCGCCCAGCCTCCGAAGGACAGGTGTCACCGACGAAATGCAGTCTAGGTTATATTCACATTGTAGCCTTTGCCTCTGAAAGGTAGTGGTGGTTCAAAAGTTTTGACATTTTAATTCCTTAAACCACTAGTACTTCTTAAAGTTGTGCCCTTCAACAAGCCACAATTTTAGGAAACGTACGGGCCACTACAGGAGCGCCCAAATTCATCCGACTAGAAACGCTTCTACTCTTATCTTTTTCCGCTGCCGATAGCTGGGCCAAGCACTGGTGGTTGAAGGCAAGCAAAATGGAGAAGTGGATAACACTCCTGCCTTGGGGTCGGATAAGGGCATATTCACGCTAGCACTATCTTAAATCAAGTTAAATGTATCTGACCGCATTTACAGCTTGAGCTGTATGTATCTGGTCGCGATTCCCTCCAGATGTTATGTGTTTGATTGATTCACAACTCGAACCTGCATTCAAATGTTCCCATACACATCTGCAATGACAGGCACACTGGAGAGAGCAGATTCACACCATAGCCGTGGAGAGATATCGCACAGCGAAAGCCAAAGCCAGAGAAAAATGTAATGTTTCACTGAGTGGGGATCTGGACCGCCCAGGTGACCGGCAGGGGCCTGGGGGAGGTAGCGAGCGGCCTGGCTGGGCAGGTGTCGGGGGGTTCCAGACCCCCTTTTGGCTGGTATTGGCCTCCCGCAGGCCTACCAGGTCCGACCGGCCCAAGAAACCGTCACGTCGGGCTCGGTAGGCCTGCTTTTGTTTTTTAATCCACGCCGGCTTTGTGGCCGTCGATCCACAGAGCCGGCAGACCTTGGTGCCAATCTTCCCCCCCATTCGAACCTATGATCGGCTGGGGTGGTCCGCCACTCGCCCCCCAGCACGATCGGAGTTGGTGCCGACCCGCTGCTGTGCTGTCCTGCTCCCCCGTCGCCATCGCCATTGACTGTCCTGCTGCTGCTGTTGCTTGGACGAATGC